CTGATGCTATCTAATGTTTAAAAACATCACGGTTGATTAAAGTTTTAAAAAAAATAACCACTTTTTACTTGGGTGTTCAGCATTACAGTTTCTGCTCTTTAACATAACTTCCTCCAATTCTTCAGCTTAGCATCAATCATTTTAAGTTTTTATCATGTATTCCTTTTCTTGTTTTTATGTGCTTTTTTGGCTAGAACAATATGTTGGTCCTTTAGCAAAAAGTTTACTTTAATTTAATTGTATTTGGTTAGTTAAATTGGTAACTAAGACTTCCAACATGAAAGTACACTAAAGCAAAGCAAGCAGTTCCAACTTGTACTAATCTCAAAATAAATAGTTTTGGGCATTTCTACATTTTAAAGGCATAATTAAATGTGTATAAATGTATACTTAATTCTTTTTGCATACAGAAAAGTGTCTATTCTCCTACTACTTAATCTGTCATTTCTATGCATATGACTACTCAAATGACTCATCCCCCATGTCCAAGATCTGAACTTTGCAACACTGCTAACGAATCTGCCTTTGGCTAAGATGGAGCACTGCAGCCCCATGCTAAAGTAGCTTTTCTTTTTTAAGCTTCTAGAGAGTTTCAAGCTGCAGGTAGATAATGCACTGCGGTAGCCTAGATCACCAACATATTGGAAGGTGGGTTTTGTGTTACCAAGTCAGAGGAATATATGCACATTACTTCTTGGAAAGCTGCTACCTGAGCATCCTAGGACCCCAAAGGAAAGTAATTTTAACAAGAGGCAAGCACACTCGTCAGAATAGTGCCCCTGGCTAATCTGAGGTTACAAATAGATGTTGCCAAATTTAAGCAGAACAATTCATCTCCTTCATTGGTTGAAATGTACATTACCCCTTGTCCCACAGCATCAACGAATGGTCAGGACAACTGGTGATCATGTTTTCCCAGGACTTGAGGGGCTGCATCTCTTGCACCCTGAGAACTGTCTTGCAGGATCAGGCCCCTGAAGCCCTGGGAGTAGGGCTATAAAGTAGACGGAATTTTGTCTCTAAATAGTGACATAAACTGATACCACCTTTATCGCAACCACAAATTTCATGCGCTTGTCTATGCCCCTTGGCACACCACATCTATTTGCTTGGCCTTTTGTTTCTCCATAAAAACTTTTTATGGCAGCACAAAGGCAATGTATGTTTTTACCCAAAGTCTCTTCAGCTTACTTGTCCCAGCTCCCTGTCATTACCTCAGATGTGTCTGGGCTGAGCTTCAAGCAGTTTACCTTGTACATTACTATCCTGGGCACAGAATTGCATGGATGAGTCTTCAGCACCCTGGCTGAAAATGTCACAACACATCTTATAACATCACTGGTTAATCTAGTAGGAATAGAAGATGAAGTAGATTCATCTAGAAAATACTTGCATAAAATCCTCGCTTGCCAATAGACTTAATTTGGTTCTAGGAATGCTGAGGTTCATATTTTTGGTATCCATATATGTAGCATGTACAATGATCACATGCAGCATGAATTCAATGATCATATACAGCGATGTTACTGTAGATATACTTTTTCTTTTCCTATTTTTTTTAAATGCTTGGACTTCTTCTGTTTTATTCATAGTACAGTATTTTCATGTGGGCTTTTTTAACTCTTGGCTCTTTTTAAGTGGTGGAAGTAGTTGCTCACAATGTGGGATGGAGAATAAAGTTTTGTTAGTTACAATATTTATCTCTATCCATGTTTTGCTCCTCCCATATACCAACAGAAAAACTGGCACCAGAAATGTAGCTACCAAGTTGCATATATCCTTATACATCTTCTTATATATGCTCTTATACAACTTGCAAAAAAGTAATGTCATTTTTTTTAGTCATGCCTTTTTTAACTCTGGAGTCCTACCTGCTAGTTCTTAAGAGGCTCATAGTACTTGGTTCCCATATAACTTGCCAATAATTCCCAATTATCTTGCATCTCGCTTTATTCTTGTTAGAAAATAGACTAGGTAGGCTGTATTTAGCTTAATTTAGTGAAAATAAGCTTCACTATAATACTTGTAGACTGTTCACTTAAGTTCATCGGTGCCCTGTCTACAATCTGACAGATACACAGCTGTTGGTATCCTGGGGTCAGCGTTGAAACTGTTTGGTTCCTTTTGAATGATGTCCCTTTTTTAATACTTGGCAGTATTTGGGTAAAAAGTTTCCAAAGTTCATAGAACCGCCTTAGACATGAGGTCACTTTTTATCAACAAAGATATCTCTATCACAACACATCTGAGTAAACTTATTATTTGGTCTTCTTTTCTGTATGACGTATCATAGCTTATACCTAGTGTTTCTTGACAGCTTTTTCAAATTTTCTTGCCTCTTAATATGCAGTTTTTTCCAAGAACCTGCAACTGCATGGGACTTATCAGAGAGGATGCCTTTGGCCTGCTTGCAGATTGACTGTCCTTCCCAACCACTCAGGATGCTGTTTTTTCTCTTAAAACAAAAAACCCCTTGTTTTACATAATTTTTAGCTGCTGTACTTGTAAAATATATTTGCCAACAGGTATTGGCTTTGTCATATAATAATGCTTTTAAATGCTGGCTCCAGGATTATGTTGTGTTGGAAACAGAGT